ACGTCTAGAACGTGCTGACGTGAGACATCTGCTTTAGCGAATCAGAACAGTCAGACGCGTTCACGTCCGCGCGGTTTATAAGAATAAAAGCCTTTGAATATTTTTCCAGACACATTAAGCTGATAGAAATTAGGCAGATAATGTTTATATGTTCATCTTAATGCCAACCGTGTAAATAAATATCGATAAGATGCTAATGAAAAGCGTTGTTTGTTTACCTTCAAGCTTTGCGTGTGCCAGTGAAACAGCCTGTGAGCGCCAAAACACACATATCATGTACATCTCGACATGGCAACAGGGTTTTCAGCGCTGTGTGCGATCTCTGGGTATTCTCCCATTACTTTAATCCAGAACACCGGCAGAGTTGTTGTCCTGAACACTGTTTTAAGGCCGCCGTCATTTACGATCTCCAGCAGTTGGTCTTCTTGCACGGACATGCTGGATTCAGCTGGTTTGTTGATGAATTGTTCATGTATCCATTCCCTAGCCGTTTGTGGGTCCTTTGAGGTTGGGAAGTAGCGCTCAAACTCCTTTAACAGTGAAGATTGATGATTGTGCACCAGCTTGGTGAGTGAGGGCGCAGGCTCAGTCTCACACAAAATCCCCGCTAATGTTTGAAACATGTCCAATATGCCTCAGTTTGGCTTTAAATGCAGCTACTTTATCTGCCAACTTAAAGGGCCATGAAACCCCCTCGTTTCAGCAGAGTGTTTTCACACCTCTACTTTGGAAAAAGTCAGAAAAGTGGGTGTGTCCAGCTTTGTTTAGGTGGGAGTGTCGGAGGAACTAAAGTGGGAGGGTGTGGGAGTGTCTATTTGGGCAAGCGCAAGTTTCAGAGTCAAAATACACACAAACACACAGGAGAAAGTGATGGTGTTTAACCTACATGGACATCTGTAGTCGAATTATTTGCCAAATTATTAAATGGTGGACTTTAACTGCAGTTTGGCTCTTTCATTCAGGGAATTCATTCATGCCCCTCGCGACAAACGAGATATTTGATTCGAGTAACTGCTCTAAGCGTGTATTTTTCATGCAATGTTTGATACCGCACGGCGAATGAGAGAAAAAAACCCTCCGCATTTCCCAGAAACTTAGATGCACACGGCAGGTAGCGTCAGAAAGCCGCGTGTGTTATTCCGGTCACAAAATGTGGTAAAAATCCTACACGAGGTTAAAGTTTGGTTGTGGTGCGATACGAACAAACTGAAAAAACAAAGAGCACTGGTCGCTCACTTACCAAATGTGTAGAGACAGGACAATCACCAGCAACTAGAGCCGCATCTTTATGATGAGAATACTACAAGCGAATCCGGATCTCAGCGTTTTCAGATGAGAACAGCTCTCAGGTAAACAATGTTCCTCCTTAAACACGTAAGTTATTGTTGTCGAGCGTCGCGTACACTGTAATCCACACGTGAGTCTGAGCTCTCACAGAGAGAAAATGAAAACGAAACTTAACTGTAGCAAACTATAAAAGCAACACTTCACGCTTGTTTTGCCAACACAACGTGGTGTGTCTGTAGTCTAAGCACTAATGAATAATATGACAGTAATAAATATTAATGAAGTTGCACAATAGAGTGCGCTGATTGGTTTGAACCAAGCCTTACTCATGCATTAATGCATCACACTGTAAGACGTAATAAGACACACTCTGGCACAGACTCCCAGTCTGCACGCTGGAATACACGCTATTATGTCATGGCCGTGACGCAGCTTCAAAAATTCGTTTCAAACCGGAAGTACGAATTTGCTTAAAATAACGCAAAAACAACCAATTTACACTTTTTAGTGAAATATAGGTGTCCTAATAGTGTTTTTAGCAGTGTGGGACACATATCCGACTGTCAACAGCTCAAAAAATGTGTTTAGGTGTTTCGTGACCCTTTAAAGACAATTCATTCTTGTGCGGCCCGGTACTGATTGATCCATGGACCGGTACCGGTCCGCAGCCCAGTGTTTGGGGACCACTGCTCTAAACTATGGCTCGGAATGGCTGTAGCTCAATCAGAGTTTTGAGTAGCCCTGTTTAGTCCTCCATAAGGGTGCCCAGATGCCCCGTTTTTCCCCCATGAAAGTTCCTTATTTCCCAGAAAAGTTTGTTATTTCGGCTTACCATGAGAATGGTCCAATCAAAGGTAGACTAACCAAACAAGCATTCTTGCATAAAAATAATATCAGTGGCAGAGAGCGCTGTTGAGTAATTTTTCAACCTTTCTGACTGCACTTTCATTTAATAGCTTCTTTCCTAGCACTTTCACTTCCATCTAGCTTCATATTAATCATTTATGTTTTATTTTATTACCCTCTGGACTCTGCGAAGTTCCTTAAAGTGTGTGAAAAATTGTTCCTATGTAATGGTCAATCAAAAATATCAGCAGCAGAGGGCTCTGTCGAGTAACTTTTCAGCTGTTCTGACTGCACTTTCATTTCTTCTTTCCTAGCACTTTCATTTCCATCTAGCTTCATATGAATCCTTTATGTATTTATGTTTTATTCTCTGAACTCTGCAAAGTTCATTTAAGTGTGAAAAATAATTCGTAATGGTTAATTTAAATAATCACAAGCAGAGGGAGCTGTTGAGTAACTTCAACCATTCTGAATGCACTTTCATTTCCCAGCTTCTTTCCAAGCACTTTCATTTCCATCTAGCTTCATATTCATTCATTCATTCATTCATTTTCTTTTAAGCCTATTCCCTTTATTATTCTTGGGTTGCCACAGTGGAATGAACCGTCAACTTATCCAGCACATGTTTTACACACCGGATGCCCTTCCAGCTGCAACCCATCACTGGGAAACATCCATACACGCTTATTCATGCTCATATACTACGGACGATTTAGCCAACCCAATTCACCTACCACGTTTTTGGATTTGTGGGGAAACTGGAGCATCCGGAGGAAGTCCCCGCGAACATGGGGAGAACATGCAAACTCAAGACAGAAATGCCAACTGACCTAGCCAAGGCTCAAACCTGTGACTGCTGTGAGGCGAACATGCTACCCACTGTGCCATCGGGCAGCCCTAGCTTCACATTAATCATTTATTTATTTATTTATTTATTTATTTTTATGGCTCTCTGAACCCTTTTAAAAAAGTTAAAGGGCTCTATTTTGATGGTCCAAAACGCAGGGCGCAAACGCTTTCAGAGCATGTCAGAACGCATTTTTGCTATTTTAAGGACGGGAAAATCTGCTTTGCGCCGTGGCGCATGATCTAAAGGGGTTGAGTTTATTTTCTTAATGAGTTACAGGTGTGTTTTGAGAATAAACCAATTAGAGTCTCATCTCCCATTCCCTTTAAGAGCCAGCTGCATCGCGCCAAGAGCGCATTCGCTATATACAGGACGCAAAATAAGTCTAAGTGGAAGAAATTAGCATTTCACTAGCAAACAGTTAACAGTTTTTTAACAGAAAACTGTTAAACAGAGCATCTACTGCGTGAGAATGAGAGATAATGGATTAACTTTCACATTCACTCTTAGATAGTGAAACCTTTACGCACAGACATCAATTAGTCTATAAATAATTAATTTTGTTTGTTAAGTGCAAATATTCGTTTCAAAACTATTTCTAAATTCAGTTCTAATTTCCAGCAAACAAATAAATGAACAATAACAACAAAGTGTTTAAAAAACCTGAGTTGTAAAAACCTCAGAACGCCTTCCTTTTTAGACCAGAACGCCTATGGGCGCACATATGAGCGCTAATGCATTTGCTTTTTAAACAGCGTAGCGCAACGCCTCAAAACGACTCTTGCGCCAAGCTGAAACTAGCAAAAGACTATTGCGCCGCGCCTTGCGCCACATTGCGCCAGGTGTATGATAGGGCCCAAAGTGTGTGAAAAATTGTTCCTATGTAATGGTTAATTTAAATAATCAGTGGCAGAGGGCGCTGTTGAGTAACTTGTCAACCATTCTGACTGCACTTTCATGTCCTAGCTTCTTTCCAAGCACTTTTTTTCCATCTAGCTTCATATTAATCATTTATTTATGTTTTACTCTTTGAACTTTGCAAAGTTCATTAAAGTGTGTGAAAAATAGTTCCCATGTAATGCTTAATAAAATACAATCAGCAGCAGAGGGCGCTGTTAAGTGACTTTTCAACCATTCTGACTGCACTTTAATTTTCTAGCTTCTTTCCTAACACTTTCATTTCCTAGCTTCTTTCATTTCCATCTAGCTTTAAATATCTTTCTTTTACTCTCTGAACTCTGCAAAGTTTATTAAAGTGTGAAAAATAGTTCCTATGTAATAGTTTATTTAAATAATCACTAGCAGAGGGCGCTGTTGAGTAAGTTTTCAACCATTCTGACTGCTCTTTTATTTCCATCTAGCTTCATATAGTAATAATCATATATATATATATATATATATATATATATATATATATATATATATATATATATATATATATATATATATATATATACTTTTTTTTTTTTTTTACTTTCTGAACTCTGCAAAGTTCATTAAAGTATGTGAAAAATAGTTCCTATGTAATGGTTAATAAAACGTAGCAGAGGGCCCTGTCGAGTAACTTTTCTGCCATTCTGAATGCACTTTTATTTAGCTTCTTTCCTAGCACTTTCATTTCCATCTAGCGTTATATTAATCATTTATGTATTTATGTTACTCTTTGAACTCTGCAAAGTTCATTAACGTGTGTGAATAATAGTTACTGTGTAATGCTTAATAAAAAAATCTGTATCAGAATACTATAGTACCAATAGAGGGAGCTGTTGAGTAACTTTTCAGCCCTTCTGACTGCTCTTTCATTTCTACCTAAGCTTATTACATTCTCACAGTGTTTATCTAGCGTCATAATTATCATTTTAACAGAGAATGTGAGGAATAACAAGCTTAAAGCTAAATCATCCAATGCAATCCTTGCAAACCATGCAAAATCCACACACATCTTTATAGTGGCTTTGAGAAGCGGCCGGCAGGGTGTCAGTCAGCTGGAGACGGAGAACAGAAAACATTGATACAGGTGTTTTAGAGACTTTTGGTTTATTTTAGTGTTCATGTTTGACCGATACTGACAAATTTTCCACACAACAAATAAAAACAAACTCTTACTGTAATACTACAAGCGTGTCAGTGGGCTAAAAAACAAGCACATGACAATACCCCAATGTAAATATTACGGGTCGTTTATAAGCATTGACAGCATGAACTAGTTACTCAAAACAATTCTGAACAGTAAACTACTTCATATATAATGCAATAGTGTAATATTTACTACAGCTTACAGTAATATTTGATTAAAGGTTTCCATATGAGACTGAATCAAGCCACATAAAAATCCTTCCCTTTCATACTGTACCTACATCCAACATAACTTAATACAATTTCTGACAGGATAAAAAAACAGAACAATTTATATTGATTTTGGTAATTGGTTTAAATTAACTGATATTAAAAAGACACATCTGGCATTTAACAAAAATGGATTTTCTCTTTCCTCCTGTATGATCTGAAGCAAACACAGAGTGAAAACAGAAAACCATCATCCTATCAGGTTCCTCGTCTTAAAGAGAAATGATTCCTCTGATAAACCAGCACATGTGATGAAAGAAGGCGGGACCGTCTCCTCTGATTGGTTCAGGTCAGCAGGTTTTTAGCATTCACTCGCCCTCGCTGTAAAAGAGAAAGTGTTGAAATTAAAATAATTTAAGTTATTTAGATGAAATATATGGTTTTTCTACTTGTATTTTGTATACTGTTAGATTTAAACTGTGTGCGTGCGTGTGCGTGTGTGTGTGTGTGCAAAAAATGCTTGAGATTTCAGTATTTTTGTGCTATTTTACAAATTTATTTCTGTACATTATATTTGTGTCAAAAGTTACTTAACTCTTTTGTGCATTGTTTTTGTGTAACTATAATATAATATAATATAATATAATATAATATAATATAATATAATATAATAATGTATAAAAATATAATTAAATATATTTTTTTCCCCTGGAATCTATTTATAACATCATATTGTAATACTTCATTAAAGCAAGTCTGCCAGGTAAGAGGGTCAAATTTTTTTTTGAGAGTTTTAAGAGAGTTTTAAATACTGCATTTACTGATATTTCCAGAACTTTGTTTTTTTTGGTGGACCAAAAATATTTCCTAAAAATTTGATACACATTTTTTACATAATGCATCTTTATAAAAAAATAGAATCTGTTAAAGGTTTTAATGAAAAACTATAGCTTCATTAAATTATAGCCTTTATCGAAAAACTATTTCTCAGGATTTGGTCATATGAATAATACATAAATAATAATAAATAAAAAAAAAATTCTAGCCTCTCTTGTAAAAAAAGTCAATTTGAAAATTTATAGATAACAACAATAGCCTAGTTAGTATTAAAATGCACTTTAATATGGTCTGTTTTTGGTGCTTTGCGACTTTTTATTTGGCCCAACATTTAGAAGAAAAGTTACTTGTGAATGTTTTCTTTGTTTAACAACAATACAATAGGTTCATCAGTGAAAGATGACTTCATTTGCATCAGATTGTATGTTTTCTTGCACAGCAGTAATAATTGTTTACATTGACCAAAATTGATTATCAGAAGTCTCGCTGAAGTGACAGCCGACTCATCTTCAATGGGTTACAATTTATGATGGCATAGCAGTCAAAATAGGACAAACGAGCTCATGTATGGGACAAATTCTGGACCTTTGTCAATGGGGGGTGGGTCATTCAAACCCCCCCTGGCTATGGGACCATATGGGAAAGCAGGGATGAAAGAAACGTGGGATAAAAAGTAACAAAATCGATTCTCTTGAAACCCTGACAACATCTGTATTCCAGGCTATAACAACACATTCTGCATGCAACCCTTGATGGAGCTGCTAAATATCACCTGATATCGGTACCGTGTACAGTTAACTCCAAATTTCAGATTTTAGTAACAAAAAGTAAATTATTGTAGTGGTTATTTTTTCCTTATTACAAGTTGTGTTTCTTTTTTCATGCATTACACTAATGATCAATCTACAGGTTATTTAGTGCAATAACACATATCTTAAGTTTATCTCAAAGTTTTTCAGTTTAAAAGCAAATCAGGTTTAAATGGCAAGAGTTCCTGTGCGGATAAAGGTAACACTGTTATTTATGTCCTACTGCTAATAGACAAACCTTATTTTTCACTTCCACATTTTGCAGTGTTTGGAGTCAGATGCTTTCAAAAAAATTATGAATTTTGCCAATAATATTTAAAAAAATATCTGGAAATGTGAACATTTTGCATTGTTGGGTTGCTTTTGAAACATTTGATGGAACTGAAACTGAAAATGCAGTTTAATGTATACTGTAATCAGAATTTCAAAAATCAATCTAGCAATAAAGCGACTCTGGCTTCTTTCCATTTAAAGATGATTAATGAATTTTCAAGCAATAACAAACTCCGCTCAAAAAAACGTGTAGCTCCATCTTTCTTTCTTTCACTTTTCTATATTGTAATATAACTCAAAACAATCCAATAAGGGCAGAGCAAACCATTACAAACAAAAGAGTAGGGGTGAAATCAACAATTGTACACAACTAAACATGTTTACCTTTACATGAATCAGAGCACTATTAATAAATTATATTCAATTAAATTATAGCTCTTACAATGTTTTGCAAAAATAAAGGACAAAATAAGTTTCCGATGAACATTAACAAGGTTATAGTCAGAAATATTTGAAATAAACAAGATTAAGCCAGTAAATCTAGTAAATATTGTTACTTTTGACCCACCTGTGTGGTACTTTCCTCTCTACTGACAGGGTCAAAATTAACAATGTGCAACTTTAGTTTAAAGTGAAGTTATGTTGAAATTGTTCTGCATTGATTCCAAATTACACCTGATTTTGATAGAGCACTTTTGTGAGTTAGTAACCACAGCAAAGGTATATTTCTGTTTAACATTATCCTTTAAAATGAGTTTTTTTTTTATAAGAAATGTTATGTTTGTCCCCACTCTCCCCCTATAGTATATCTTTTTTATTCCTGAAATCTACTTGTAATATTTTTTTATGGCAGTTCTTTTGTCTGATATAAGAAAGTTTTATAACTACAAAACAATTTCCTGCAGCTTAGTTAAAATAAAACAAACATTTGCCTTAAGCTTTGAGTTCAGGAAAGGAAAGTAACAGTGTGTTTTCATTCTACAATGACCTCTTCAATCTCAATAGATCAAGCAAAACTTGACACTCACAAAATGACCCCGTTTAATAATTCAAACTTGGCTCCGATTAGCAAAAAGCCTTTAATTAAATGCCAATTCTTTTCATCTTCACTATAGAAAATAAGATACTGGATAAAATATTTACATCATGCATCTTTGTATCCTGTTTCTCCGGCCTCACCCTCAGGGATCATGGAGAGTAAATACGCCCAGGGGAGAATAAATGACTCATCCTGGAAACGGTGTGTGTGTGGTGTTGTGGAGACCAGACATACGGGCCCACCGCGACACACACACAGGGCACTGGCACAGCAATAATGAGCAGATGGGGTTCATACGTGCAGCGCACGGCCATCAGACAACATGAATTGTGACAGGTTTTGTAAGGGAAATGCTGATTTACTGTATATTATCAGCTTCATGTTGCTGCACTGTAAACTTATTTGTAAATAAATAGTTGTCTATATTTATTGATTCATTTTTTATGCTTTTGAACTGCATTATGTGACCTTGATCTATTCTCCAACAACTGCTGATGTTGACAAGTTTGAAAAAGTGATTTTTATTGACATTTTTAATAGCTTGAAGTGATTTTTCTGTGTTGTTTTTAAATTATTTAATGCTACTAAACCTGGTAATAAACCACCTGTACTTTTTCTGTTGTATAACTGGATTAATCCTCTCTATATAATTTATTATACAATATATTGTTTCAAACTACTAAAATGTCACTAAATATCACTTTTACTCTCTGAATAATTAGCACCTCTGTTTATTTTTTCCGCCAATTTCTGTTCAATGGAGAGAAGTTTTTTTAACGCATTTGTAAACATAATAGTTTTAAAAACTCATTTCTAATAACTGATATTTTTAGTCTTTGCCATGATGACAGTAAAAAATATAGTAAATAATATTGTACTAAATAGTTTTCAAGACAATTCTATACAGCTTAAAGTGGCATTTAAAGGCTTAATTAGGCAGGTTAGGATAACAGGTTAGTAAGTTATTGTGTAATGTTGGTTTGTTCTGTAGACTATCGGAAAAATATATACCTTAAACGGGCTAATAATTTTGTCCTTAAAATGGTTTTTAAAAAATTAAAAACTGCTTTTATTCTAGCCAAAATAAAACAAATAAGACTTTCTCCAGAAGAAAAAATATATTATCAGACATACTGTTAAAATTTCCTTGCTCTTTTAAAAATCATTTGGCAAATATTTAAACAAGAAAAAAAAAATTCAAAGGGGGGCTAATAATTCTCTCTTCAATGTTTATAAAACGAAATTTTAATAATTAACAGATGTGGTTTATTGATTGTGAACTGTTCGGCCTACATTTTTGCAAAGCCTGAATTGCTTCAGGTACACTTTTCTCACTTAGATTTTAAGTCTTGTTTCTAGTGAGCTTGTTCTTAAAACAAGCTAAATAATTTGCCAATGAGTTAAGCAAAATAATCTTATTTATCATTTTGACATAAGATTATTTTACTTACACCATTAACAGATTATTTTTATATTTGGCTTAGAAACGAGACAAAAAAAAGTAAGAAAAGCGTTTTTGCTGTACATATTTTGCTGCAAGTTTCAGATGACAAATCCACTAGAGGGTGCTGCATATATTTTTGAGAATTGGAAATTTTGTTGTAAACTTCAGATACACGTCCTCCTTGTGTTTTTGATATGTATTTGCTGTTATGCAATGAACTGCATGAAATAATTCTTTATGTGTCAATATTATGTCTATGTAAAAATAAGAGTACAAAGGAACAAACATTTTGCTCTTGTACTGCCCATTATTAATTTTTACCTAGAAGGTGTGTATTTGCAATGTAGACTAAACCATGTATTTCCATAGACCCTGTGTTGGTTTAGGAAGATGACAGAGATCATACCTGTGTCGTTGAGCATTGCTTGAGCGTTACTTCCTGTCCTCCTCCTATCAAAACAGAGATGTGCTTAATGTAAATGTATGTACTGCACTGTCCTTTAATGTATAGAACACTACCAAAAATTGTTTATATTTTATTGCTTTGCATTACAAAATGTCTGAACATTCTTAAAATAAGAAGCAAGCAAAAGTGACATACGTAGGATATTAAGTTCTCAGAAATGTAGACAGAATTTTAAAAAAGTCGGTGGTGTAAGTTAAAATATTTAATCCCTCAAAAATTAATTTCAATTTTAACTCAATCTATTTAAAGTTTGTTTTTCTGATCAACACAAAAGAAGATATTTGGAAGAATGTTAAAAACTGGTAGCCATTGACTTTTTTTTTTCTACTATAGAAATAAATCGCTACATGGTTTTCAGTTGTGTTTAAAATGTCTTATTTTGAGAAACCTATAAAGGTTTTGAACCAACTGAGGTTGAGTAAATTTACATTTTAGGTGAACTATCCTTTAGTGTAAAGAGAAAACAAGTCCCACTTGGCATTTTTAAAGGATTAGCTTGCTTAATTTCTTTATTTTTTATTGTAAAATTGTATAACCCCTTTTTCTTAATGTAGTTAATGTCATCGTGATTTAGGACAGTTTTTTGTATTGGAAAATAATGTACAAGTTCATTATACCTCTTGTCCTGGTTGAACTTGCATCTGCAGTGGCCACCTGTAATAATGGCAAAACACAAGATGTTTTAATCAGGTACAGTAGAGTGGATCAAACGGCAATATTTTATACCTAAAAGTTGAACATTTAAGGTAGCTTTTAAGTGATTTTATGCATTTACTATAGTTGCTTTGTTTTTTTAATCTTATGCATGTATTCTTGCATGTATTTTACTTTTGTATTTTTTATATCTATGAAAAATGCTGAAATGGTTCTTTTAAAGTCACTATAAAATAAAGATTTTTTTGTCATTATTATGAATTATGAATTATTATTATTATTATTATTATTATTATTATTATTATTATTATTATTATTAATATTATCTCAAAATTCAAAGGAAAAAACATGACTATAGTATGTATGCATTTCTGTGTTGCCAATCATCTAATTTATTGTCTATGCAAATAATTTAGGAAAATCCAGTGATTGTTTTCAGTGAGCACAGATTCAGGATTTGTTGTTACAAATTAAAAATACGTGTCAGCTTTAGATCAATAGTTCAATAAATGGGGAAAAAAACTACCTACATTACAGATTTAACAAACATTCCCAGTAAAAATGAATAAAATAGTTGTGGTAGATCTAAACAAACACAAAATAAATATTGAGTTTTGAACAAATCACTTCAATAATTGAGCAATTCATTTAAAATGAATCAGCATTTTTGACGAATCTATTGAATTCTTATTTATGGTTACTCAGTCCTAAATGAATCACTGTTATTTAAAAAAAAATCAGTTCAAAAGGAGTCATGCTTACAATACAGAAAAATAAAACCTCTTGCAACAAACAAAGATTTGTGCTCATCCAACTTATTCATTTAGTTTAGAAATTAGTTGGTTACCCAACGTCAAAAACAAAACGCAGTGACGCAGTCAGTAAACTCACTTAGGAGAATAGTAATGCCAATCAGACATAAAACTGCTGCTAAGATCAGACCTCCGACCCTCAGTCTGTGATAATCTAGAGAGAGAGACAGAATGAAAACCTGAAAATTAATCTCAAAAACGTAATATGATACTTTTATGATAGAAAGTTTAAAGTTTTATGACAGATTTTGAATGTTAAAATGTAAAGAAAATATTTAAATATTTAAAAAAAAACTTACCAAAAGAGAAGGGATCATCCTCTGCTGCAAAATGCAAGGCAAAAAAAAACATTTAATTTTAATTTAACATTTTTTTATCACTACACATAAATAAAAGAAATTGAGAAGACTTACTGGTCTGCTGACCCTCTGCCAACACAAGGGGCACAACTACAAAAGCACAATAAAGTTTATTATCAAAATAGCACCTTAAGAAGGTTTGGTCACAAGACAGTATTTAAAAAAAAAATCAACTTACATGTCAAGAACACTAGTGCCAAAGATTTCATCATAACAATGTGGATTTTGCCTGCAATACAAAATTAGGTCTCCATTAAAAACAATACTATCATGTAATATGCATCAACATGAAATCAATAATCATAATTCAGATTGTTGGTTTATACACTAGTCATCAACAACTACAGTAACGGTTACTTTAAAAGTCATGTTTATTACAATTTAGAGTCACTTATTTACTTAAAGTAATATGAATGTATGTTATGATTGTATAAAAAGAGTTGGGTTCCACGCAATCAATTTGTGTTGGGAAACCATTAAGGAATTTAGTAAACTTAAGTGAATTTAACATAAAACTATTAAAATGTCCCCCAAAAAACTTAAGAATTGTGTTGTTTCAACTTAATTTAAATAAGTAATGTGAACAAACAGTAAACGTCATTTTTTTTGAGTAATATTTATGCTTTTTTTTAAACCCTCCTGCTGTCGTGTTCACCTCTGTAGGGTTTTAACTGCTCTTAAATAAGCACAAAAAACTAATTTTTATTCAACATTCTTTAGCAGTGAACAATGTCTCTAAGTTGTGTTTAACATGAATTTATAGACTTAGACATTAAATAACAGCACTGAAAATACAAATAGTGAGTGAGTTGGGGTGGTGTACAGTATATGGGATGTTTTACAGCCTGATGGATGAATATAGTCTGGATACCCATTCATTTCCTATGGCTTTCACTTTTGACTATGAACACCACAGGAGTAACAAGGTTGACTAAAGCACTCAAAATACAATGAAAGAGGTGATCATCAATTTTATATACTCATCGGCCACTCTATTAAGCAAGCCTGTCCAACTTCTCAGTGCAAATTTCTAACCAGCCAATTATATGGCAGTAACTCAAGACAATCTGCTGCAGTTCAAACCGAGCATCAGAATGGGGAAGAAAGGTAATTTAAGTGACTTTGAACATGGCATGGTTGTTGGTGCCAGACGGGCTGGTCTGAGTATTTCAGAATCTGCTGATCTACTGGGATTTTCACGCACAACCATCTCTAGGGTTTACAGAGAATGATCAGAGAAAGAGAAAATATCTAGTGAGCGGGAGTTCTGTGGGCGCAAATGTCTTGCTGTTGCCAGAGGTCACAAGAGAATGGCCAGACTGGTTCGAGCTGATAGAAAGGCAACAGTAACTCAAATAACCACTCGCTACAACTGAGGTATGCAGAAGAGCATCTCTGAACACACAACACGTCCAACCTTGAGGCGGATGGGCTACAGCAGCAGAAGACCACACCGGGTGCCACTCCTGTCAGTTAAGAGCAGAATGATGAGGCTGAAATTTGCAAAGGCTCACCAAAATTGGACAATAAAAGATTGGAAAAACGTTGCCTGGTCTGATGAGTCTCGATTTCTGCTGCGACATTCGGATATAGGGTCAGAATTTGGTGTCAACAGCATGAAAGCATGGATTTATCCTGCCTTATATCAACAGATTAGGCTGGTGCTGGTGGTGTAATGGTGTGGGGGATGTTTTCTTGGCACACTTCAGGCCCATTAGTACCAGTTCAGCATCGTCTCAACACCACAGCCTACTTGAGTATTGTTGCTGACCATGTCTATCGCTTTATGACCACAGTGTACCCATCTTCGGATGGCTACTACCAGCAGGATAAAACACCATGTCACAAAGCGTGAATCATCTTATTTCTGATTTCATGAACACGACAATGAGTTCACTGTACTCAAACGGCCTCCACAGTCTCCAGAACTCAATCCAACAGAGCACTTTTGGGATGTGGTGGAACAGGAGATTCACATCATGGATGTGCAGCCAACAAATCAGCAGCAACGGTGTGATGCTATCATGTCAATATGGACCAAAATCTCTAAAGAATATTTCCAGTACCTTGTTGAATCTATGCCACTAAGGATTAAGGTAGTTGTGATGGCAAAAGTGGCTCCAACCGTGTACTAGTAAGGTGTACCTAATAAAGTGGCTGGTGAGTTTGGAGGGCCGGTGTCCCTGCAGGCTTTAGCTCCAACTTGCCTCAACACACCTGCCTGGGTGTTTCAAATATGACTAAGACCTTAATTAGCTTGTTCAGGTGTGTTTGATTAAGGTTGGAGCTAAATTCTGCAGGACACCGGCCCTACATGAACAAGTTTGGTGATCCCTGGTATAGTAGTAAAATGGATTGTTATTGTAAGCTGAAGATTTTGCCATTAAACCCAGGAAAATGACAACATTATGATCGGAAAGCAGATCATGTGTCCTTTACATACACGAAAGATAATTCCCATTATGCTTCACAATCCACTTATGCTCTAAATATAACATGAATTCCCTTAATGCCTGAATTATCGTCCTCCTCTAGCTTCACATCAACAAAAATGGGCTTAAATCAAATGATCACGATCCTTGCCAATGCGTCTGATCTGATTAAACACAACAAATAGCCGCTCTGAAAACACAAAGCAGACCTGGATCAAATGTCAACAATGCCTGGAACATCTCAGCTGCTAGGAAACATGTGAAAGTGCTAAACCCCTCCATATAAAGAGCGCGTGTTTCTCCAAGTGCATGGAGATTTACATCTTCTGACAGATGTAGATGTTGAATCACATCGTAATTAAACATGCTGGAACAGCGCTATCGAGCTTAGCAAGGATTTTTCCATTTCGTCTCCCAGAGACCAGAGGGAATGTTTTGCCCATCCCTACGCCACGAGATGATGTAACATTCACCACCTTCAACTTACAAACATGGTGGCGAAGAAAGGGGAGAAATAATGGGTTCACCAGAGACATGCTGAGACAAAATAAAGTCCAGTATTTCTGCTCTTTGATCAGATCAGCCTGGGCCAGCGTGAGGCAGAAGCTAATCTAGAGCTTTTTTTTTGTTTTCAGAGAGTCTCCAAGAGGTTTAATAAATCCCTTGAGTCTGTTTTCATATTATCTTCCACATGAATTATCTCGTTTCTTCTTCCAAACACACATGCACTGTTTTGTGCCATTATAGTTTAGACGTAATTATACTGTAGGCCTACTTCTTAAAGGGACAGCTCAACAAAAAATGAAAATTCTGACATCATTTACTCACCCTTCACTTGTTCAAAACCTGTTTGAGATGTTTAAAAAAAATGCCGGTCTCTGTATGACACTCATTCTCTTCTATGTATTTATACAACAGTTCTGTCCGGTTCTCAAATCTGATTGGCTGATAGCCATGCGGTATTCTGCAATATCAGAACTCCTACAGCCTCTTTACCCTTTGTGTATTACTCCGCCCACTTACAGCCAGCAAAAAGCAGACACTACAGATCTACAGTTTAAAAGATGAGATGCACGCTCAACTGTTTAACTGTCAGCTTATGATTTGAATCCGGAAGAAAGTAGTTCCTCATTCAAAAGGGTTTTTGAGACTCTCTATGTTTGATTTTGTTTTTATATACACAATTATGCTGTCAAACTGTTGTATAAACGCAATATCACACTTGTAGCAGTGCGATATGGCTGTATATCGGCACTGTTGAGGGCACTAAGGCACTAAGGGCAACGCATGCCTTCCACCGGTGCCGATATACAGCCATATCCCACTGCTACTCGTGTGATATTGCTCATATATATATATATATATATATATATATATATATATATATATATATATATATATATATATATATATATATATATATATATTTATTTATTTATTTATTTATTTCTTACTTTGGAAGTCCGTGGGTGCCATCAACCAGCATTTTTCAAAGTATATCCTCTTTTGTGTTGAACAGAAATAAAGAAACTCATAAAAGTTTAAAACTACATGAGGAAAAGTAAATGGTGAGGACATTTTATTATTTGAGTAAACTATCCCTTTAAGCTTGAAGGCCTGACCCTTTGTTTATGCAAATCAAGTCAAATTAGCTTTTGTGTAGTATAGGAGGACGTTTAATTTGCAAGCAGGTGCTTGTTTGATTAGAGGAACAGTGAGTTATTCTGTCATAATTTACTTAATCTCATATGCTGTTATTTATTTGTGTAACATATAAGTCAAGAAGGACTCATTTTAAATGAAAGGATCTTAATCACAGAATGCAGCAGGTCTTGAGAGAATCAGTTATACCATATAAATTCATTCATTCATTTTCTTTTGGCTTACTTCATCAGGGGTCGCCACAGTGGAATGAACTGCCAACGTATCCAGCATATGTTTTAAACAGCGGATGCACTTCCAGCTGCAAACCAGTGCTGGGAAACATCCATACACTCTCATTCACACACATACACTGTGGACAATTTAGTTCAATTCACTTATAGCGCATGTCTTTGGACTGTGGGGGAAACCAGAGAACATGCTAACTCAGCACAAATGCAAGTTGACCCAGCCGGGACTCGAACCAGTGACCTTCTTACTGTGAGGCGTCAGTGCTTACCACTGAGCCACCAGCTGGAGATAATCAGTTAGCGTTTATAAATATCAGCCAAAAATATTCCTATTAATATGTTACTTTAGAATACATTAATCCTGCTATTCTTCCACTAGAGAAAAATAGTTCCTGACAGCAGCCTTTTATACACAGGCTTTGCCGGAAAATTGCAAATTTCTGTAAAGATGATATATGAACAAACCATTAAAAAAAATAATAATACCGTAAATTGTGTTCAGGCAATCTTCTGGAATGAGAAGTGACTTTTACGCATACAGAATTTTTGGAAAATGGCCGGTACATTGCTGTGAAGAGATTATGAATGATCCTATGCTTGAAAAAATCCTCATCTGATGGAGCTTAACTAAAAACAGGCATATATATCCACTGTGTAAAACATATGCTTGATAAATTGGCTGTTAATTTTGCTGTGGCAACCCCTGATGAATAGAGGGACTAAGCAGAAGGAAAGTTAATATATACAGTTGAAGTCAGAATTATTAACCGGAGCACACAAAAGAAACCCACGCCAACATGGGGGCAACATTCAAACTCCACACAGAAAAGCTAACTGACCCAGCTGAGACTCAAACCAGTGACTTTCTTGCTGCAAGGTGACAGTGTTAACCACTGAGCCACCAT